CTTGTTCTGTTCCCTCTGTGCTCATCAGGCAGGTACGGTCCGATGGCAAAGACAAGAACTCTGTGGTGTCTTTTACTCTGACAGATGAGCCCCAACACATAGACCTTCAGACATCCAACTGCAAAGATGAGGTCAGGATTTATTGTGCTTTTGCGGTAATTACCAGTCATTTTGGTTTATGGAGATCTGACACCTGTCTGTGTGTGTTTCTCAGCCTGTGAGGTTAGCAGTGGTGTGTAAGGACGGTCAACTTCATCTCTTTGAGCACTTTCTCAATGGGTGAGTTTGTCCATCTTGTATTTATCAGTGAGAGTAGGTAAATTCTTTAAAACAGTTCAGTGAATCTCATGTTTATATTTTTCTCCCACAGGCCGTGTAAGAAGCCGCTGTCTCCAGTGTGTTCCCTGCAGGTGTCCACTATGAAGGGAGACTCACCTATGCCTGTGCCTCTGCTCGCAGCAGCTCTGTGTGCCGACAGACAGAACCTGATGCTGGCGTACGGACATCACCTGCAGCCCGTCATGGAGAAAACTGTTAAGTACAGCAAAAACCTTGTTTACTGGGTTATTCAATTGGTCAATGATACTGACATGCTGTTTCCTCCCACAGCCTTTTGACACATCAGAAAGACACATATGCTTAGTCAGAGATGTACATGGCACTCTTTCTCTCTCTGTAGACACGGCTGTCTCCAAGGTAAGAGCCCATCTGCTATTAATATATAATTGACCTTTTTGATTTATTGAATATTAGGCATTTGACATTCAATTTCAAGCAGCATCTATTAAAAACAGCTTATTTCTGATTTTGTATAATTATTACATTTGCAGTTTATTGACCTAACTGATTGTGTGACTACCTAGGATATTTGTCCTTTCTACACTTATGTCACACTGTAGGACAATTTAGGTTAACAGAAAAAAGTGAAATATGTAGAAGAAATGGTGACCAGTTGCAGCATCTAAAATATACACTTTATTTGAAACATTATATAATAATTTTGTAAATCTTACTGAACCCAAACTTTTGAGAAGTAGTGCATATTTATAAAAAAAAAAAAAAAGTAAACCTTGAATCTTGATGTTAAAAATAACATATTACTTGTCAACTACCCATTTCCTCTGTAACTGGTACGCTTCTAGTTCAGAATGGTTTATGGAATCACTGCATTAATTTGAACATCATCTTCTAGGTGAAGACACCAGTTGTTAATAAACAGAGCAAGGTTTTAGTACCAGGACTTCCGGGACACAAGGCACCAATCAAATTAACTCCCAATGAAGCAGAGAAGAGGAAGAAAGAGGACAGTACCACAGAGGTAAGACTCAACACTTCCAAACTGAGATCATTCAATTTGTGTAAAATCATGCATTTTCCCCGCAAGAATTAAATTAATGAATTTCTTCAATCTAAAACATGAAAAATCCTCTCCATCTTATTGCAGATGTCTATCGAGGAGCGGTTGGAGAAGATTGAGTTGAGTGTTGGAGGGAGGGATGCTGGTAAAGGCACGTCCTCTCTGCAGACGGACAGTTTTGCCGTACTGCTTGTGCAGGGACTGGAGAGCAAAGACCAGCGGATCCTTACCGTAAGTTACACACTCCTCTTGCTACAAAATTCATATACATCTAATTGTAACTATCTGAAATATGATCACTCGGATGTTTAAGATTTGAACTATGCAAAGTGTAAAGTGAATGATATTTAGTGTTTGTTTATGCACGTTGTTTGTTCTCATTGTAATTTGATTCATTCTGACAGAAAATATTTCAAACCAAAAAAGAGATGTTGATAAAGAACACTGTTGCCCGGTTACCACCTCAGGCTGTCCTGCCATTGCTGGAAGAGGTATTTTGACATTGTAAAATATGTATTATGAATTATATATATATATATATATATATATATATATATATTAGCATTCAAAGTTCAGGGTCAGTGAGTTTATTTTTATTTTTTTTTTTTTTTGAACAAATAAGTAAAAAAGTAAAACTTATATTTAACACGTATGCATTAACTTGACCAAAAGTGACTGTAAAGACATTATAATGTCAGTAGTATTTCTGATTCAAATAAATCCAGTTCTTTGAACCGTGTTTTACATTTTTACTTTTTTTTTTTATGTTTTCATTGAATAAATGCAGACTTGGTGAGCTTAAGGGATGTCTTTCAAAACTAGTTAAAAAAAAATCTTACCAACCCCAAACTTTTGAACGGTATTTTTTTATTTTAATTGAAATAATATTAAAATTTTTTAAATATTTTATGGTTTCTGTAGCTGTCCAGTAGACTGCAGGGACATCCATTCGCGTAAGTAATTTTCACTTCCGTTGGTTTTTACTTTTAATGTTTTAATCTTTAAATGTTGTAACATGATTGTTTTTGTCTGTGCAGGGCTCTGCTCATAGTTCAGTGGTTTAAGGCTGTACTTACACAACACACATCATACTTGTCTTCGGTAGGTCTGTGTGCATCTAAATGTCACACAAATGCGCATAATCCAGATCTTAATGTTGTGACAATGCATCTTTAGTCTTGTTTCCACAGTACATCATATTTTTTAGGGTTCCTCATCTGGTCTGTTCGTCTTATTTCCCCACAGCTGCCGGATCTAGTGTCTCAGTTGGGCTCCATCTACCATATGATAGAGAGCAGGGTGAAGTTATATCAGCAGCTCACCCGACTCCATGGCAAATTGTACCTGCTCATGACACAGGTGAGCTGCTCAAACACAAGCAACCAGAAATAGGTCAATCACTGCTTTGATTTTTCGGTGTGCTCATTTCCATTTTCTTTCTACTAGGTGGCGACAAACCACAGCGCTAAAAATGTTGGTAATATTTCTCACAAAGCAAAGTTGGTTTATGAAGAAGGTAAAGAACGGTCTTTATTTTTTAATTTTTTAGTAGTTTGTTTTTGCAGCAAAATACACAAATGTAATTAACTAAAGACCCATTGAGTAGTTTTTGTTCTGTATGTAAACTATTTATCTTTTCTAACCTTTATTTCCTTTTAAATGTTTATTTATTTACCTATTTTTCAACTGATTCTCAATTTCCTGATTGTCTTAAATGCTGACATGGCAAAAATAAATGGATAAATTCTTCATTTTTCTACAGAGTCTTCAGATGAGGATGAAGGCTCAAGAGATGAAGGGCGTCCTGAGGATGACTCGGATGTAAGAGATGCTCTCAATTCTTGTTGTTTATGCAATGTACCGTTACGGGATTGTTCTTATGTTGATTTGACTTTTCAGAACTGGGAGGAGGATGAGGCAGCAATGGAATTGACAGAAGACAAAAAGAACCACAAAGATGAGGAGGACAATGAAGAGGACGATATGAATGATGAATCAAAAGCAAATGGTGATTCAGATCTGGACCCTGAAAATGAGAGCGAGGAAGAATAACCACCAATCAGGCCGCAGGATTCAAAAAAGGACCTTTACATTTATATGTTATTTCATTTTACGTTTCATTTTGCTGAATTTTATTGTAACAAAACAAGTTTTATGTTTTATAGAATAACCTTTGCGGCCTGGACTTGTGGTTGTCTTTCTCAGAACGGTCATAAGGGTGTGTGAGCCTTGACCCAGACTGACAGCTCCTCGTGCGGAGTGCTCACACATGCTTGAGGCCCATTCGAGTCACTTTTCCTTTGACTTGAAACTGCCTCTGTTTTGTTGACCAGCTACTATAGGATTCTGTGGGATTGATTCCCAAACCAAATCCCCCTCCATCCCTCTGCTCAGTTGCATCCTTAATCGCGCATCTGACGTCCCCGTGGTCTGAACATCTGACAATTATCATGATTATGCCCATCAGCACTGTCCTCTGATCACATCTTTTAATATATGTTGTCATTATTCTTTCGCAGTCATTTCTCATGTTTGAATTCCGTGTCCTGTGTGTGATTTGCAGATTAAGGTATTTTTTACACCCTCTGCAGTCATGACCCGGTTCTCGGTCTTGAGAACAGAAAATGTGAACCTCTCCCAGTACAACATAAATCTTAAAAACGGTCCCAGAGGCGTGTATGTTTAATTATACAGTGGTTGCGGTGAGCGTCAACCAAAACTTTTCATGCAAACAATATATCGGCAACTGTTGTACAGTTTAAGTGAAATAAATACCATTTTGTTCTCATCTCTTGTATGGATTCATACTTTTTTTCTTTTTCTTTTTTGCTGGTGCTAAATATCAGCATTTTGGAAAATGTCACAATAGTTCTCAGTGGTTAGTGGTGTAGTATAAATGCAAACCTGCCACAGCAAACAAGAAAAATCTGTGTTGGCTGAATACAGTTAGTAGCTTATTCAGTTAAATACTAAAAATCATAAATCGCAGCAGTTTATTTAATTGATTTTTTTTAAAGGTATCTAAAGAAGGTATTTAATGTATTTAAGTACATTAGTAAAATACCTGTAAAAAATATATGCAGAAAACTTAATACGTATAGTGCCCTATTTTTGTGGATTTATTTTTTTAGGTCATATGAGCATTTTTAGGTAACATATTTGCAAATAGTTGAAATTGTCCAACTGAACTATAATGTAATAGAAAGATTATTCAATGTTGAGGTTTTACCCTTTTCACTTATGATGACTTTCCCAACCATGAAAGTTAATTTTTTTTAAACTGTTCTAGAGCTAGCGATCACAATTTGGATACCACAGAAAACCGATTTCTTGCTCTAGAAAAGTAATGACAAAAAAAATAGTGAAGTTATGGTTGGCACTGGAAACTGGTGCTTGTAAGTGCAATCTCTGTAGAGTAATTTTATAAATGCTTAACCAGAGTTTGTGTAAATAAAATGGTAAATGGGTCAATGATTAATTTTATTAAATCGGCACAACTGATTTACACTGTTCAGCGTAAAGCTGCATAGCTGCTCGTCCTGTGCTCTCCTCCAGGTGGCGTCAAAGCGTCTATTATGCGCTTCTCCAGTAGGTGGCGTCGATGTGAACATTTCATCACACGTGCCAGTTGTGTTTAACGCCCGCAGTTCGTCCGACTGCTACAAACAACACAATCACGGCGTTCCGACTGCACTGTAGGCAACTGCGAATTCTCAGACTGTAAGTAAACACTAAATAATCTTCAGTTTGTTTGTTTGACTAATGCGTTTGGTATAAATATATAGATTATGTTTCATCAGCACTTTTCATAAGTTGTTTTTTGAACTAGTCAAAATCTATTATAGATGGGTTTGTGAACAGAGTAGTAGACAGTTTAAAATGTTCGGAGTTTGTACAAAATACGCATTGTTATAATAACCGTCTAAATATTTTATTAGGTTTAACATCATTCCTAAAATGTTGAAATAGATTTTTCTACCAGAACTAACACTTGCCTGAATATTGAATACTTTAACACGGGGGTCTTTTTTATGTTTGATTCTAAATTTTACTTAATATTTGTCTTGTTTATATATATTATATATATATCTAATTATTGTTTGTTCATAACTACGTTTATTATATAAAAATATAAAATATGTAAAGTTACGTGAACTTTAACAACAGTGAAAGTTCAGCCAAATGCTTCATTATGCCTCCCTCATTGAAATGTATCAAGTAAAATTAGCCTATGTGTATTTGAATCTGTATATCACCATTTTTAAAGAGCGTTGTACATAAAGTATGTAAATATTAATAAGGCACTGCATGTTATAAACTTGACTTAAAAAATGTAACACTCAATTTTGCACATTATATAACGGGAGTCCCTTCTCCATCTTTCTAAAAGGTTAAAGACCCCCCTGCTTTAATAAAACTTTAAATCATCACAGAAAGTGTGTAGTTTAACTTTGTAACTGAAACCAGACAAGTGAATTTTTATGTAATGGCAACTTTCTTTTGTCTCTCTCTCTCTGCTCCCCTCCCTTTCAGGTGAGAGCTATTCAGGTGAGATAACCTGAGCGCTCACGGGTGCCATGAATTGGGCTTTTCTTCAGGGTCTCTTGAGTGGGGTCAACAAGTACTCCACCGTTTTCGGCCGTGTCTGGCTGTCCGTAGTCTTCCTTTTTAGGGTCATGGTCTTCGTCGTAGCTGCGGAGAAGGTATGGGGTGACGAACAGAAAGACTTTGCATGTAACACAGCTCAGCCTGGCTGCCATAACGTTTGCTACGACCACTTCTTCCCGGTGTCCCACATACGTCTGTGGGCGCTGCAGCTCATCTTCGTCACCTGTCCGTCGTTCCTCGTGGTGCTGCACGTGGCCTACCGTGAGGAACGTGAGCGGAAGCACCGCCTGAAATACGGCGAGGGCTGTCAGCGGTTGTATGCCAACACTGGAAAGAAGCGCGGTGGTCTTTGGTGGACGTACGTCCTCTCGCTGGTTTTTAAGATGGGAGTGGACGTGACCTTTGTGTATCTCCTGTATCACATCTATGAGGGCTATGACTTCCCCACTCTGGTGAAGTGTTCTGAGTCTCCTTGCCCCAATGTGGTTGATTGCTTCATCTCTCGGCCCACAGAGAAGCGGATCTTCACCATCTTCATGGTGGTGACAAGTCTGGTGTGCATCCTGCTCTCCCTTTGTGAAATCCTCTACCTGGTGGGAAAACGCTGCTTTGAGTGTATCCACAGGATGCAGGGATCACGGCAGATAAACAAGGCAAGGTCCATCGCCAACATGAGGAGTTCAAATGCTCATTTAGATTCAAACAGCAAGAAACTGGCAAGCAAAGATCAGCTAGTGCCAGCATACAGTTTGGTCATCTCATCCTAAAAAAACATGAGCTTGGAAAAAACTTCCACTCAAAGTGGGACCTAGAGAGATGGAAAATATTCTTCATGTTCACCACGATGTGAACTCAAGCATGACCAACTCAGTGTACGGTTGGCAGTAAAGGAAGCCGCTTGAATGCTTACCCTATATCCACTGGATCTTTTGCTGGAAAGTTGTGACCTGATAAACAACATTGTATTTTTGAAAAGCTTATGGGGTCAAAATGCCAACATTCAGGATGACAGCCTTTAGTTTGACTAAAGCAAGTCACTGCAGGGTTTTGGGTGTGGTGTGGCTTCTGTTAGGCTAAGCTCCAGAATACCAACACCAATGGGCACTTTAAACACCAAATACAATACAGATGGTATAAGCCCAGAAAAGGACAATAATTACTATTAATTACAAAGTACATATTTGTCAGTTTTTCAACTGACACTAACAAGCAAAATGTGACTGCAAATTATGTTAAATCAGTCTTTGCTTCACATATTTTTATAGTTATAAATTTTTTTCAGAAGAAACCAAAAATAGTATAATTCATTGATAGAAGAATCTATTATCTATAGAAGCCTGTTTTTATTTCAGAGTAATTGTGACTTCATATCTCACCAAAAATGAAAGATCTGTCATCATTTACTCATCCTCGTGTCGTTTCAAACCTGTAGAACTTTCTTTTCATATTTTGAATAATGTTTTAACAGTTTTTGTCCACACAGTGACATGTCAATGGGGTGCAAAACAACATTGAACACTAATTACTTTCATGGTATGGACAATATATTAATAATAATAAATGATGACCGAATTTTCATTTCCGGGTAAATTGTCCCTTTAAATCTCACAGTTGTGGCTTTATATCTTGTAATTGCAACATTATATATCTTGCAGTGTGACTTTATATGTTATGTGGCTTTATTTCTTGTTGAACTGTTAAACTTTATCTGACAATTAATTTTTATTTTTTACTCTAAGGTGGAAACAGGCTTCCATAGCTGGAAATACTTTACTTTAATTTTATATCACATACAGAGTCTTCCCAAATCCATTATTTTGTAAACCTGCATGGCCACCTTAATTAAAACATTTTTTGTTTGTTTACAGATTTGTACAAAACAGTTTGTACTGTATTTTTTTTATTATTACTATTCAATATTTTGTCATTATTTTTGTTTTGTATATTAGCTGGTGTGTGTGTGTGTGTATGCTAATGTGTGCTTAAACTGTGGTGCTCCAATCTAATGTCTTCCAAGAATTTGCAGTATTTAAAATATCAATAATTTATTGATAAATGTTCAACACTGCCAGATGAGCAAATTCAAATAAGGTTGTTTTGCCTGAGTGTGTGTATGAGAGTTTTTCTTTCAGTGATAAACATATCCAGAAAAGTAAACATCCTCTGAGGTTAGAAATCCTCTGTTTGTATGCTAACCTTTCTGAATTCTTAGAGTTGTTTACATTTTGAGATACATTAAAATCTGCTTTTTATTTTCTTACTATCTGCTGCTCATTTAAATCAGCGATGTTTGATGAAATCAGGATGCATGTGAAAACTGTCTAAAAGATTTGATTTGACGTTTGAAACTGGTTAATCTGCATGTGATTGTGCTGTAGAGCAAGAAAATGGCAAGAATGAAAATAACAGAGATAAACATCATGTGCTGTGTCGGCACAACATTTTTATTTCATTCACACCGAGTTTGAAAATCGCAAGATAAAATGAGAAAACTTTTTCAAGGAAAATAAAATTAATTAGGCTAATTATACACACAATAATTTTACATAAATTCTCTCAATGTTGGGGCATTTGGGCAATTCTGTCTATACATTTTTAGATGCCTGTTGCACTGCAGAATAACAAATCACTTTAAGGAATCCTTGGGCTGTTATGTAACTAGATTGTATTTCAGGTGTATTCCGTTTACACCGTTCACTCTTGATTCTTTTCAGTACATTAAAGCTCCCCAAGACAACAAAAACATCCCTCCCTGTTTTGTGACCAATGATTTGGTCTGTCTCTCTCTGTTTCTTGATATCTCTATAACCTCTGTACAGTGAAAGGATAGAGTAGATGTATTTAATTCATGTTGAAGCAGGTTTCGTAAGCCACATCTACATTCTTAGGGTGTGGAAACCGATCCGACGAGTCCTTTTCCTTTTTCAATGCAAAAAAACATTCCACTCCCTGTTCATAATGCTTGTGCTTCCTCTTTTCATCATCGTAAACGCCGCTTTAATCCATAAATATCAACATTTGCAATTGCTAACTACACATACATATGAACTGTTTTTGTTGTTAAAAATCTGTTACAGAAGTTAAAATTTAGTATGCAAATTCAATCAAGGTTAACCATTCCCCCAAATAAACAAGTATAAACCAGCTGAAAAACTTTACAACAGAACTGCTCGATCTGGTTCAGTGTTTCTTCTGTAGTGTTTTATAATGTTTCCTCTTGCACAAACAAGTTCAGACAGAACACATGGCCTGAATAACTCAAAGCAGGCATGAGTTCCTTTAAGACTTTGAAAACACACTGAGGGGAAGACTGGCAATCCTCATGACAAAATTATAAAACTACAGCTCTTTTAATGCTTTACTCAGAGAATGAATCATCATCATTGTGCAGAGGTTTTAGCGCTGAGTCAGAGGGCTTCACATGTGCGATTGACAAGAATTTCTCAAGCTTTGATGAAAAACAACCACAGAGACATTTCCTGTGGAAAACTCTAGGGATCAAACCGGCAGTCTTTTGTATTACCAGCACAAATCCTTCACCATTAGGCTCCCACCACTAATGAAAACTGTTTCTCATTCTATAAGCAGAATCAAGCTGAGATAAATTCATATCCAAACCAAAGAGCCCTCAAAAAGCATTTCCTGCATCCCAGACCTAATCCAAGAGTTACTTGGAACACATTAACTTTAATTACCCAAAATAATTAGTAGGCTACCCGGATTCTCAGCATGATGCTAAAAAGGTGCCTGACAAAATATTTATAGTAGCCTAGCCTCCAGAGATCCACCACACAACAAGTTTCTAAGCAACAAAAACTCAAAAAATATCTCTAAAGCTGTTTGTTTCTCTCTCTTTTATCTCTAAAGCTGTTGTTCAGGATGAGGTGTGGTCCTTTACGTGACTATGGAGAGCAGACTTTCATGGACAAGTTTGAACTCGGAGAAGCCGCCTGCAGACGTTGGCAACACCACAAACCACTAACACGCAGTGTGTACTTGACAGAACTGTCCAAACAAAGGGAGTCTTATTTATTGTACAATAAGATGGAAAATGTTGCTTGGCTGCACAGGCAAGGGTTTACTATTTGTTCCATAAAACACAATGCAGTACCATAATATTAACAGTATACTAAAAAAAACTTTTTATGGAGTCATATTACAGTAATTTTAGTTACAGTATAACACTGTAACTTCATAAACAGAACAATCCTGTTTTCAACACTGGACATTTAAAACAGTACACCAAAAAGCATGATGATTTTGAGAACAAATAAAATACAAATATGTATTTAATTATCATGCTATCTTTACAGTAAGAGGTTTATAGCAAAGCTGTGTCCTCTAGTTTGGATACTGGACTCCACCCTCACTGAGGCTGTTACCAAACCAGATCCACAGGGAAGCCAAGCAGAGGTCTTCAGAGAAGAGTTTAACGGCCGCTGAATTACAAGAGAAAAGATACATCCAAAGTAAGTAATAAGCTTTGTTTTTGTGCAAGTTTAGAAGCGATTCACATTGTTCAAATGACAAGCAACTCGTCAGCATTTGCGCTACAAAAATGTTTTCATTATAACATCCTTGTTTCCGTTCACTTACCCTGACCTGTCATTTCTACTAGATCGAATCGATTTTATTGATCACTAATTAAAGGGAAAGTGGCTGAACTGTTTAATTAGCTTACGTTTAAGATTGTAGTCTGCTGATTTTTATTTTTAATGTGAAATCTATTTAGACTATTTTATGCGCTGTTTTAATATGGTAGCCTACATTATTACAAATATTCCAGCGTTTACAAAAGGAGAAAAAAAATGAAATATTTTATAATTATTTTATAGATTTTGAGTGCTGGAGAAAAACTTAAGTGCGATTGACGATTAAAAAGGAAAATCGCTGATAACAATAGCCTAACAAAGAAACTAAGGACACAAAGTAGCGAGAAAGAGAGCTGCACTGGTTTAACTTCGATTAGTTTACACAAAACAGTAGAACTGACTAGATTCAACACATGTGAATGTAGCTACTTAAAATATCATCAAATGTTAAAGAGCTGATGGCACGCGTGGTCTTTGTAAGCTTACATCCATTCGGTTGAGGAAGACATTATATGGGGGATGTTTATTAAAGGAAAAACTATAAAACTGTTATAAAAATATAAATATAGATAGAGCAATGATTTTTTGCCTTTTCTGATAGTGATGAATGGTGTGATGGCCTATCGTGCATGAAACATTTTATGATTTGAACACCGTTATAAAACATTTAAAGGGATAGTTCACACACACACACACACACACACAATTAAAATTCAGTCATCATTTACTCACCTTCATGTCCATTCAACCCTGTTTGATTTGTTATGGATATTAAGTTCCAAAATAAAAAAATGCATCATGAATGCATCATACGATCCATACGACTTGTGCACTAGTCTTCTGAAGTCATACAATAGCATTCTGTGAATATCAGACTGAAAATTAAGTCATTATTCACTTTAATCCTCACCTCAAGTGATCTGCTAATTGCTGTGATCAGATCATTGAGTCAGTGAGTTGAATTCAAGAAGCAAATCAGTTTAATGAATGAATGAATCATTCAGGACCTCTTTCCCAAAATCACTATAATCCATTCATTATATGGATAAGAGTGGCCTAGTTATTCTTTTTTTAAAAATGACCTTTTCAGTGTGTTGGAATAACATGAGGGTGAGAAAATGGTTGAACTATCCCACCATCTTGCTTTTAAATACAATAAGTTGTTTTGAATGAGTTCACTCTTGATTTTTTTTTCTTCTTGATTTTTTTCCATCTTCAGGTTGCTGTATTCTTTATCAGAGATATTCAGTGTCAAAGAGGATCAGAGGACACATTCAGAGAAGAGAAGTTTGAGTAGGCCTTGCTCTGAGCCATGGACTGGAAGACTTTTCAAGCCCTGCTCAGTGGGGTGAATAAATACTCCACTGCATTTAGCCGGATCTGGCTCTCAGTGGTTTTTGTGTTCAGGGTGATGGTTTACGTTGTGGCAGCTGAGAGAGTTTGGGGTGATGAGCAGAAAGACTTTGACTGCAACACCAAGCAGCCGGGCTGTGCAAATGTCTGCTATGACCACTTCTTCCCCATTTCCCACATCCGACTGTGGGCCCTGCAGCTCATCTTTGTCACCTGTCCATCGCTGATGGTGGTCATGCACGTGAAGTACCGCGATGAGCGCGAACGCAAGTACCGCGAGAAGCACGGTGAAAAAGCCAAGCTCTATGACAACACGGGGAGGAAGCACGGTGGACTGTGGTGGACATACTTGATAAGCCTTTTTGTCAAGACTGGCATCGAGATCACTTTCCTGTACATCCTCCATCACATTTATGACAGTTTCTACCTGCCAAGGCTGGTGAAGTGTGATGTCCAGCCATGTCCCAATGTTGTGGACTGTTACATTGGTCGACCTACAGAGAAAAGAGTCTTCACCTACTTCATGGTTGGAGCTTCAGCTCTTTGCATAGTGCTCAGTGTCTGTGAGATCATCTACCTGATCTCCAAACGCGTCATTCGATGTGTCAACAAGATGAAGAGGCACCACAGAAGCAGCACACCACTTAATGGACGATACCGAGACGAGGACAGCAACTGCACCCTTCCTATGCATGAATTGGACAGCAAACCCGAGTTTAAATTGGAGTCTAAAACAGATTTTAAGTCTGACTACAAACCTGGGTCTAAACCACAGTTTAAATCTGAACTCAAGCCAACATTTAAGCCAGCGTACAGATCGAGTGTCGACATGAGAGCTTCTGCTCCAAATCTCTCAGTACCCATGTACAAGATACAGTCTGATATACTTTGAAGAACATTTGTTTTTCTCCAAGTATTCACAAAGTCATATTTAGGTATAAAACAAGCTTTGAATGTCTGGACAGTCTCAAAGTCTTTCATTGTCCATCAAGACCTATGAAATTTGGCAGAAGTTTCATGAAATTCTATATGCCAGATTCAGAAACTTTTGCCTTGGAAACAGTAGGGATTAAGTGGCCTGCTTAGTGGGGCAGTGGAAATGATCCAAGATTGTGATATCACTGGTCCCTGGGTTCAAACCTGGAGTCTTATGATTACCAGCCTAGTTCCTTCAGGCTTCAACTCCAGCTCAAATGACTGCATAACCGCCATGATCCTAAGAATCAATGGGGACCGAATGCATTCCTTTTCTTCTGATTCCTTTCTTAAAACGATCAAAGGTGAAAACCCACGAAAAAGCTGAAGAATCATCAAATAACCAAAAAGGCTTTCATGGAGAACACACCCTGCATACAAAACCCACCTCCACCTTCACACGCACACAAAAAGATAGGAGGAAGAGTGAGGTTCTATTGTGTGTTAAAAGACGTAATGAAAATGCCTCATGGGTGTCATTGTTTACGGTGTCTCATTTCTCAATGTCCTGGTATTTGTTACAAAGATCGGAAATTTTATAGTTGAAGCTGTTCCAACTATCACCGTTTCGTAGAGATCATAGTGGTGGTTTATATGCAAACACACCTGAACTCAAATTCATATGCTGGAAAAATGAGAGGTATATATTAAATATCACAGTTTCCATAAGATGGACAATCAGGGAAAGTTTTTCTTCCATTATTTGTTGTAACTTTACTGTAGACTCATCTGATCTACACTTGGCAAGCATTTGTAAGAGTCTGACTTTGTTCAGACTTGCTGTTATGATTGTGTTACATATTTTAGCTGAGATTTTTCATGAAGCTGCACACCCTGCCTTTGTATCAAAAGCTGAATCAACGCACTGACATATTACCTTATGAATTTTTTTCAGGATGTTTTTATAAAATTGCCATAATGGAGTTCTTCATTTGTATGACAGGTATTGTAAATGAGGATGCTTTTAAAGTTTATTGATTTTGATACTCTATAAATAAAGTACAAAAACAGCCATTTTATCACATTTTGAAGAGATTATTTTGGTGTGAAAAAGTAATAGCTTAAATCATGAACAGACAAAGAAGAAACAATCAAAGAGGAAACAGATTTAAGGAAGTGGATAAACAACTTCAATTAACTTTGACAGAACATGGAACATGAAAACCATTATTTATTATCCTTTGTCAGAACTTATTGTAATACTGATCAATTTACACTGATCTATTTCAAATCTTTGCACAACTATTCAAATGTTTGCAGTCACTAAGATTTGTAATACTTTTATTTGGCAAGAACGCATTAAATTGATCAAAAGTGACAGTAAAGCCTTTTATATTGCTACAAAAAATAATTCAAATAAATGCTTTTTGAGCTTTCTATTCATCAAAAATTAAAATATTTAACATGGTTTGCAAAAAACACTAAACTGTGATAAGAAATGTTTCCTGAGCTTCAAATCAGCAACGGCTTTCCAAACAGTTCACTGTGGAATTTTGAATGGATCAAAATCTCTGAAATGTATCGTAATGCCTACTCAAAGTATAGCTTATTTGTTCATAAAGAGATATTAATATATAAACTTTTTATAAAATTGTTCTTCAAAATAAGCAAATATGTACATGCACAGCCTTGCATTAACAGAACATTACTTCCTGATCAAAGTACAAAAGCTATTATTCACTTCTAAATAACTTTTTTTTTTAGTCATGCATGAGTTTTTAAAACGCATTGAGGGTATACGCGTATGATGTCAAACATAATACGTAAAACTTGTTGATCCAGTTAATCGGCCTTCAACAGATAACAGAAGTACTTCTTGTAACTGAAATTGTTACTTTCCTCTTGGTCAGAAGGATCCAGTTTTACCTTTGTTACTGTTATGAAAAGTTCAAATGTCAGCATAACCGGTAAAAGTAAACCTGAAAGAGAAGTTTGGCATACTGCATAAGAACACCATAATTCACATTTCTCATTATCTTGTCTTTAATGATTAAAATTAATAATCTCTTATTAAATAAAAAGTGTGAAAGTAATAATCTCTTATTAAATAAAAAAAAAACTCTGAAGCAAAAAATAAAATAAAAATAATAATTCAACAATGTCAGTTATTAATGTCAACACAAAGAGAAACAAATATAAGTTGTTGTAACCCACAAGACATGTCTCAACAATAAATTAAAGGAAATTAAAAGGGATTTTCCTTAGCACAGAGAAAGCACTCAAATTATTCATGTTTTTTCCTGATAAGAAACAAAATCAGTAAGTAGTCATAATGGTGCATTATTTTGGTATCTGAAGTTCCGTGAAATCTTTTCATTATAATGGGTTTGTTATGAAAACCAGTTTAGTAATGTATTTGTCTGGTAAAGACAGATATTTCCGTCTCAAAATGAGTCAAAGCACACACCAACACAAGTATGGGGATATCAGATATAAAACCATTTGTGACGTCTCATTCTATGATACATTAGCAAAGAAATATACTAATCAAGATTAGTAATGTGATGCAGTCTAACTAGCAAGACCTTTGCATCTAGATATGATTCATAATATTCTGCAAAGTCAAATTCTGTCCCGTTCTGGCATTTATTGCCTTTAGGCAACAAACGATCTTGCTTCAGCACTATGTAAATATTTAATTAATTCATTAGAAATATACATATACACTGCAGTTTTCAAATGCTGCCTGTCATCAGAAATCAAGGCACTAGAGAACAGTTTGGGTCCGTCTGGTTGTGAATATTGGGTGATACGAGCTCACAAGCACCCATTTCATCACTAGCTTCATTCATACATTCACAGTAGAGAACGGATGCGCTCATCCCCAATGTCCAGCTCCACTGTATTTAGAGATATTTATTTCAAAGATACTATAAATTAAGAGATTTCACTGCATACTAAGGGGTAACGTATAGTGACCTCCAAAAGAGTAATGCCATCATACCAGGGACTATAATCACTATAAAGAGAAAGAAGACTTCAGAGCTTGCAGGAGGCCTGAGCTACTTTTGAATTTGTCCTTCTGTTGAGTGAATGACAGATGTATGAGCCAGCGGCCAACAGTTTGGGCAGGTCCACTCCCTGAAACAAAAAAACTACAGCTTAAATGTGTGGTATAACTTTTTTTTATTATTATTATGTAGTTTTATACCCAGAGGTCCAGTGATGTTTTTGTGACATACATTAAAAAAAATTTTTTTAAGTATAATTATTATTTTATGACCATTTTCTGATCCCACAAGTGAATAATGACTTTAAAGCTGCAGGAAAATGATCAAGACGCATTGATTGACTGAAATTAGTCCCCTAATTTTTAGGTTTTCCTACACTAAAATGATTAATAAAATTAGAACGAGGAGGCAGAACAGTTTATGTTTAATAAATATTAATCTTTTTTTTTTCTGAAGTTGGTCATTATCGTTGGCCTTTATGGAATACATATATTACCATTCAAAAGGTAAGAAAGATTTTTAAAAAGAAATTATACTTTTATTCAGCAATTCAATTAATCAAAAGTGACAGTAAAGACATTCATAAAACGATTTCTTTCCTTACATAAGAATTGTGTTTCAAATAAATGCTGTTCTTTTGAACTTTCTATTCATTAAAGAATCCTGAAAAAAATGTATCACTGTTTCCACGAAAAGATTAAGCAAGCCCAACTGTTTTCAACATTGATGATAATACAACATTTTTCATGATTTCGTGTGTGACGCCCCATAGTAAATCAAGTTGTTTTAGGTTGGACTGGTGAGATTATGCATTTACAGATCAGAATTTTCTAAAAGAATCCAGACTGTTGTTAAATCAGACTGAGAGAATAAGATGTAAATGTGACACAGACACAGTCCTGGACTTACAGTATGGATTCCCAGTCCATGCAGCATATAGACCACATCTTCAGTTGCAACATTCCCAGAAGCCCCCTGGGCATAAGGGCAGCCGCCCAGCCCTGCAACGGATGAGTCCACAACACTTACGCCATTCTAGAAAAGAACACATGAAACAAAGGTGTGCTGTATTTTAGGGCTGTCAAAATGACTGAAAAACTAAATTCGAATTTTCTACTTAAATATAATCAAAATTCGAATTATATTCGAATTTAAAAGGCATAATTTCAGTTAGGGGGAAAAAAGCTTTTGGCTTCTCTCCTGAGGCCACAAGAGGGCGCATCGAGCAAAATATTATGCACGTTTCTTCAAAGCATAATAAAATAACACGACTATCTTTGAAAAAAAAAAAAAGGTGCATAATGTTTAAAATAATGTTTATAAACCATATATAAAGTTGCTTAAACGATTAGAAGAAGAAAAACAGCACCATGCATGTATGTATAGTTTAATACAAATGACCGAAAACCAATCACAAAGAGTAGGCTACTTTCTT